ACCGTCTTCTCAACAATGTCACCAAGAAAGACAGCTACCCTCTACCCAGGATTGATGACACACTCGACACTCTGGGAGGATGTCAGATATTCTCAACCTTAGACCTCAGAAGTGGCTACTGGCAGGTCGGGCTCGCTCCTGAGGACAAGGAGAAGACAGCGTTCTCTATTGGGACAGGACTTTGGCAATTCACTGTGCTTCCTTTTGGACTTTGCAATGCCCCTGCTACTTTTGAAAGGCTCATGGAGAACGTCCTCAGGGGATTGTCATGGGAAACATGCCTGGTATACTTGGATGACATTATCGTCCTAGGCAAATCCTTCGAAGACCACCTGAAGAACCTGGAGAATGTCTTTATGCGACTGCGGATGGCTAATCTCAAGTTAAACCCCAAGAAGTGCAACTTGTTCCGCAAACAGGTTAATTACCTCGGCCATGTTGTATCAGACAAAGGAGTATCTGTGGATCCGGAGAAGATCAGAGCTATCACTGATTGGCCAATACCTCAGGATAAACACCAAGTTAGGAGCTTCCTTGGGCTGTGCGCTTACTACAGAAGATTTGTAAAAGGATTCGCTAATATTGCCAAACCGCTAACCAAGTTGACCGAAGACAAGAGGACCTTTGTTTGGGATAACGACTGCGAGAAAGCTTTCGAAGAGCTGAAGACTAAATTATGCAGCGCACCCATATTGAGCTACCCACAATCAGACGGAAAGTTCATACTAGACACGGACGCCAGCAATACAGCCATTGGAGGAGTCCTTTCCCAGCTTCAAGATGGAGAAGAACATGTGATCGGATACTTCAGTAAGGTCCTGTCAGCGCCTGAGCGTAATTACTGTGTCACCAGGAGGGAGCTTCTCGCAGTGGTTAAGTCTATAGAACACTTTCATAAGTACCTGTATGGAAGGAGGTTTCTCTTGAGAACGGACCATGCCGCACTCATGTGGTTGCTAAGATTTAAGTCTCCAGAAGGACAGGTTGCAAGATGGTTAGAAAGGTTACAAGAATATGACTTCGAATCAATCCATCGTGCGGGACCGAGCCACAGGAATGCAGATGCACTATCTAGAAGACCGTGCGGGGACAACTGCGTGCACTGCACACGCAAGGAAGACAAAAGTGCATCAGTTCATCGCGTGACCGCCGTTGACGACGAATGGGACAGTAAGAAACTGTCTGAGGACCAGAAGGAAGACCCAGACCTAAGACACGTCATGCAGTGGAAGATGGACAACAAAGGAAGACCGTCGTGGCAGGATATTGCTCCATTGTCTAAGAACGTCAAGACCTACTGGGCACAGTGGGACTCGATTTTAATGGAAGAAGGAGTTTTGAAGCGAGTCGTCGAATCGGAGGAAGGGGAGCACCGAAAACTCCAACTAATAATTCCAAGGAAGAGGGTTCCTGAAGTGCTAAGGGAAGTGCACGATGGAATTTCTGGAGGCCATCTAGGGGTACATCGTACACTGGTGAAAGTAAGGGAGCGCTTCTACTGGGCTAATCAGAAAGACGACGTCATAGACTGGTGCAGAAGGTGTGCGACCTGCGCAGCATCAAATGGCCCTGTCAACAAACGAAAAGCCCCAATGAGGAAATACAACGTAGGTGCCCCGTTTGAGCGCATCGCCATTGACGTAGCAGGACCGTTCCCCATGTCTGATTCTGGAAATAGATTTATTTTGGTTGCAATGGATTACTTCAGCAAATGGGTAGAGGCCTATGCATTGCCTAACCAGGAAGCGGTAACAGTTGCAGATATATTAATCAAGGAAATGGTGAGCAGATTTGGCGTCCCGCTCGAACTTCATTCTGACCAAGGAAGAAATTTTGAGTCAGCGGTATTCTCTAGAATGTGTGAAGTTCTTGGTATCCGGAAAACTCGAACAACACCTCTTCATCCACAGTCAGATGGCATGGTAGAACGCATGAACAGGACGATGGGAAGATACCTGTCAAAAGTTGTCTCCGATCATCAGCGGGACTGGGACCAATACCTGCACTTGTTCCTACTTGCGTATAGGAGTTCGGTCAACGAAACCACCGGCCAGACTCCAGCCAACGTAGTTTTCGGCCGAGAGCTCCGTCTTCCATGCGACCTGCAGTATGGTTTGAAGCCAGATGAATGTGTGGTTGGCGAGGACTACGTATCCAATCTGCGGAAGAGGATGGACGAGATACACGAGAAAGTCCGTCGCAACATATCTGGAGCAAGCGACAGGATGAAGGAGAGGTACGACGTGAAGGCCGAGAAAGGAGGGTTCACACCTGGAGACCTCGTGTGGCTACACAATCCCCAAAGGCGTCGTGGATATTCGCCAAAACTCCAGAACTCGTGGGAAGGACCTTATGAAGTTATTGCCCGTTTAAATGACGTCATCTACCGGATTAAGAGGCAACCAAACGGCAAACCAAAGATAGTCCATTTCAACAGGCTTGCACGCTACAAAGGAGATCATGGCCAAAGAGAGGAACAACAAGTTCGTAACCTGTCGACCGAGCCAAAAGACGCCGTGCCTGAGAAACGTGGAAATGAAGAACCGAGGTCGTTATACAAGGACCTCTTCACCTTGCCAGTGGAATATGCCTTGGCACACTGCGTAGCAGAAGACCTGAGAGCGTCGCGAGGTATAGCCACAGTCTTCAGGAAAAAGTTTGGAGGGACCGAAGATCTTGAGCGGCAGAGCCCCACCATTGGCACGACTCTTCACCTGAAGCGCAACGGCCAGCATTTGTTCTACCTCGTTACGAAGGAAACGTCAAGTAAGAAGCCCTCCTACGAATCGTTGAAGAAAAGCCTACAAGACCTGCGAGACAAGCTTCTTCGGATTGGAATCAAAAAGCTTGCTATTCCCAGGCTGGGATGTGGTTATGACGGACTGGAATGGAGGATTGTGAGAAATATGGTGCAGGAACTTTTTAAGGACACTGGCATCGAAATTGTGGTCTGCGTATACAACCCATGGGGAACCTCCGGTGGACCAGAAGATCGCAAGCTTCAGGGGAAATCTGTTCTGGGACAGAACAGTCTTAAGGAGGGGGTAGTGTTACAAGTCAGGAGCCCCGCGCAACAATAGCCAGGCGCCGTCTCAAAAGGGTTGTTTGTTTACACGGGTTTTTCCTAGCGCACCACTGATAGACAATAGGCCCATGTCAACGGACTACCTCAATGGGGCCCTAGAACCTTCTACACTTCTACGGCGTAAACACCTTTGTCTAGGCTACCAGGGGTCTCCAGAATGTTCCACGTCAAACTTATATAAGGGACCGTCTTCCGGCACACGGCAGTTGAGTTGTGTTGAGCCTTCCGAGAATCGTCGCAGCAAGCGCGTGTCGGTGTGACCAGTGCTAGTGCTAGTGGCAGTGACAGTGTAGTGACGGTGTAGAGACAGTGTAGTGACACTAGTGACAGTGTAGTGACAGTGCTGTAACAGAAGTGGTGATAAATCCTGTAAAGGTTAGCTGTAAGTAGAATCATTGTAAATTAGAGTAGGCTTTAGCTAGGTTTAGATAGGATTAGTTAGGTGTTAGGAAATTGTAATATCTGTAAATATAGAATAATTAGTGTAAATAAATAGTTATTATAAAATCGCCAAGTTTTATTTTTAAAGAACCTGCTAAGCCCGCAACAATAATTTATTACTTTGATGTGTCGGATGGATATAAGGTATTCTTTAAATTATCCTCCAAAGCGAAAAAAATTAAATTAAACCTTAAACTGTATTGCTTGTGATTTATACAGGGAGTCCCGTAAGTAAACAGCCAAACTCCGGGAAAGGGTGATATGGGTGAAAATAAAGAGAAAATCAAGAATATTATTTTTTCCAAAATCGCTTCGTTGACTAGATATCCGCCATTTTGTATTTTTACATAAAAATTTTGATTTTTCGATTTTTTCAAGCGATTTTTATAAAACTTGATGTAGGATAAGGTAGAAGAGCCCCATTTTAGGAAAAAAACATCTTGATTCAACTTAAAATTTCAAAATGGCAGTCATTTTAATTTTTTAAACTTAAATTACTTAAAAACGGCTAATTTTATGAAGACATTACAAGTACACTTTTATTGAGCATTTTTTATTCCCTATCAAACGGTACCAAGTTCAAAAAGATCGAATAAGAAATGGCTTAAATATTACGGTTTTAATTGTAAAATGGGCTAGAATAAGGCAGAAACTAGTCAGGTTTGCCCCATTTTACATCTAAAAATAGTAATATTTCAGCCGCTTCTTATTCGATCTTTTTGAACTTGGGATCGTTTCATAGAGAATAAAAAATGCTCAATAAAAGTATAAGTTACTATAAATAACAACTTAAGTAGGGTGAAAACCCTACAAAGATTTAACTGGTGAGTCGGTGGCTTCGTTGGTATCGTCGCGGACTTCGGGCCCAAGGCAGTAGTGTCGTCATGGGTTCGGATCCTGGAATTGCCACAAACTTTTGTCAGTACAGTTGACCTTTGTACTGTACCGGCTCACCCCTTGTTTTGCTGGATACGTTCCACGCACAGATCTGTAGTCTATGTGGACGGGCAAATGCAAGGTTAAAGAGGCCGCCAACCTCTTAAAAAAAAAAAAAACGTCTCGATGCTGAAATGAGGAATACTGTAATGTATTATATTTTATTTTTGTAGCAAGAAAATGAGTTTGTTTTTCTTTTTATTTATATAAACATACTTTGAAAATCGATTGGTTTATTGCGAGCAAGCTTTCAAACCCATTGTTATCTTTTAGAGATAAAACTAAAAAAAAATAAAGGAATGCGGCGCGGTCCAAACTTTACAGTAATCAGAAGCAAGGCGTCAAGTCCGTCCCTTTCTCACTGAAGTATGATACATTGACCACTGAATTAGAAGCACTGTTTAGTTATAACTTTCAATGCCATCATCGCTTTTGCCCAATTTTTCTAGACATCGTGAACTGTTTTATTTCCAGAGTTTTTTTTGTGCACATAGTATATTCATTATAACTACTAGCACTTTGTTTTCCCATGTTGCAGGTGTCACCATTGGTGCCGCCATGACGAACCTCAACAGAATCCGGGTGGTCGTCCTGGGTAGCTCCAAAGTCGGCAAATCAGGTAAGAACCACCCACGAGGGAAAATTGGAGTTATATTTTGTAATGAATAAAAAAAAAAATACTGTAAAAGATTTAGTTATTGTGCCTTGATAAGCTATGACCACCATCTAGACCCGTGTCCAAAACAATATTTTTTCTAAGTGTCATAACTAAATAAATGAGTATTGTAGTGCTCAAATGTTTTATATTGTCACTCTTCTTACATTATGGTACTAGTCGATTGTGATACATTATTCCACTTGGGCATTATGATCGCTTTCGTTTAGCTTTGGACTTTATGAATCGTTTCTGTGATTAATTTTTGAACATTATTGCATTAGTTCGCTATGAAACACACCCTGAAATAAGCTTAGATTTATTTCATTATTATATTCATTAATGTGTTTAGGTCATACGGCAGCGTCTACAGTTGTTTTCAATCTATGGAGGGAAAATAACGAGATAAAACCAACTAAATCAGTTTTAAAACATTTCTGGCTTAGGAATTTCGTCTCATGATTTCGCTGAATAAAATCATTCACATTATATTAACGTGTAACAACAATAAATGCGTCAACGGATTGAACTAATTGTTTTACACAAAGACAAAGAAAATATTTAATACTGAAATAAATCGTCTCTACAGTCGAAACTAATCAATTAAAATAAATATATGATCACAGTAACTTAAGTCAATAGCTTTTAAACGTAATAATTACTTTAATTGTTTATCTTCCTGTTTACAATTAAGACTTGCACATGATAATTACTTCCATACTCTTAGAGAGTGGTTAGTTTGCACTACACAATATTTGTAGCCCTAGTTTTATTGGTGAGAGCTAATCTTGTTAGTGGCTTCAGCAATGGCCAATGATTGCACTTTATAACCAGCTCTTCTACTCTCCAGCTGTTATACTATGATCTGAGTGAATACTGATGCTGCTGCTAGGTCAGCAGCGATACTGTGTCAAGACTAGTTGCGTTTAGAATCATTTTAGTTTTGCATATTTATTTTTTTGATTGTTTTACCCCCAATGCCTTGCTAGATACCATTTCGTTTGTATTCGTTGTGAGTTGTATAAGTCACGTCGCAGTTGAAGTACCCCATCACAATGGAAGAGTCATTTCGTTACACTCCACGATGCTGTACATGAAATATCATTTGCAATTATACAGCTTTAGGTTGACAATGTTACAATTCATTATTCATAAAACTATCAACTAGGTTCATCATGGTATTTTGGCTAGTTTGCTAATACACTTTGTACCGACGCACATTAACGGTAGATGTTCCGGTAACTCTTGCAGAGAGTTAAGATCAGTTTTTAATACCGGTCATTGAGTTCTCGTCGTGTGCTGACGGTTTCACGTGGTTATGTTTGACCATGGTACTGTATCTATTGGAGAGCGTTTAGTTTACTCCACTCATATCAGGTACACCAATCCCATGCAGCGTCGGCGTCGCGTGGTTACGCCCGTCATCGACCATTTCATTATAACGACTTGTAATTGCACACGTGTTGGGTTGGACGGATTGTCTCCGGTATAAAGTCATTACCCGTGTCCCGTGCGATCGCCGATCGCGCTTAATGACAATAATCTGACGACCGTTACGTTGACTGAGGCTGGTACGGCGTCGATGGATCGCTCGAGCGTGCCCGGGACCTCTCACATCACTAAGACGAGTTGGGCAGATCAACTTGTGATAAACGGTCCTTGCAGCAATGGGGTTTTTAGCTTACTCGGGCTTCATAATTTGGGATATATGTGGTATGGCTACTGAATAGATGTTCTTTACAGGAAGCTACCTCAAAAAAGATTTCATCGCCAATAAATGCAGAACTTAACTTTTTTTATAATTACCAGTGCATAAGTACTTATTTCTAAATGTTTTGCGGTTTTTTTTTCAATTATCTATATATTAATAGGCAAGCATGTTTCTTTCAAAGCTTCTTTTCTCAGCTCGTGTGCATCGCAGGGAAAATCTACGCATACTGTTAGAAAGATATTTGTCTCTAGATGTGCAAAATCCCTTTATGAATTGAAACAGGCTAAACAATAAACACAAAAAAATTATTTTAAAATAAAACAAGAAAAAAGCATGGGCCTTATAGGTCGCTATGCTAGTGACGAAATAACCACGAAATATTCACAGAAAATCAAAACAATTTAAATAAATTCCAATGAAATGTTTTATTTACATTTTGGGGTGAAAAAATATAAGTTTGCACTATACATATTTTAGGTCGAGTTTTCAGCCACGAGGCGACCACTACTCCGTTCAAACAGCCGTGGCACCTGACGGATTAGGAGACCCCATGGAAACCCTTGGGGTCTCCTAATCCCTCAAGTGCCACGGCTGTTTGAACGGAGTTTAGTTTTAAATACAAATCAGACGTAAAATATGAGTATCTGTAAATAGTACAAGTTTTTATTTACTAGAAAACAGTGTAGTTGTTTTACTGTTTCCATAAAAGCCAACCGATTAAACGAATTTTTAGTAATTTTAATAGTGTTATTCCAAAGACCCGGGGACAGAGTCCCTGGTGGATATTTAGTAACAAAATTATTGAGACAGAAACCTATAGGGCAACGAAGCAAAATAGTTAGTTCTTAGGCATATATTATTGCCTGGATTCTTCTTCAATCAGATGAACAGTTTGATACTGCATGAACAGCAAATGTACAGTCAGACATAATTTGCATGTATAAATTATTAACATATCAGTCAGACAACTTTTATGAAAGATTTTTCACAAGATATTCCTAAAAAAAAAAGCTTTAAGACGTTTAAATATTATTTACACGTATTGAAGGATGAAAATTTGACTATTTCAAAATACTTTGACAATTCAAAAATGTAAATTAATGCCACCGAAGATAATTTAATGCTTTTTGACTCGTTAAACTCTACAATTACTATTCAGGTAAAATAAAACTTGATTACTAAGCAAACTGTTAATATAAATTTAAATTCTAAAACCATAAAAGTTAGATTTTTCGTAAACAGTTTAGTCTTAGTAAATTTATTTGTGAACTGTTTGGACATCTGGATTTATGGATACTTGTCATGTTTTTTTTCTACAGTAGGCTACTAGCCTTTGCAGCTAAACTATGAACTTTGCCATTAACTATTATTTTACTTTTTAGTACTATTAATGCTAGGAATATGGTTGATTTTACAGTCGATACAACAGGACATGACAATATATACAAATGATTTAATATTACTTAGTTTAATTGAATCCCCTCCTTCTAAGCCTAAAAAATCCATTACTAAATATTCATAAGATTATACTAATTTTTATGATGGAGTTGGCATTAAATGTTAAACAACCCACGTTCTTCCTTATGTCACAATGCCAAATAAACTTTGTATAATACTTAGTCACGCATTCCAAAAAAGAAGGATAGAAAGTAAAAGCCAACAACAGCTATATTTTGTCGGATTACTTTCAAGCGTTCTCTTAAATCCGGACAGTAAAGAGACAATAAAAAGGTCAAGTAACGTGAGAAACCAAGTTGGGTCGAAGTGTGCCGATCAGTTCCGGAAGTACACGAAGTCGACCAGCGACGGCGCCAAGCCGCTTGTTTCATTTACATAGGCGCAGTTTACCCGTTCATTATAGCTCGAGAATGGCCAATAGAATCATGTCAAGACCGACGCCTTGTGCTCATTTTAATTATATGTAATAACCATTTGAGTTATTGGTCCATGGAAGTAGCGGAATAATTGCGACGATTACATCTCCGGACTCCAAATCAATTGGTTTCCTAATCGGACAGTTGCTAATGTGAGGGCACTCGCCTGGCTGAGGTGCCTGACCTTACCTCTACTGGTGCATGCAGGGAGGTGCATAAGGTGGAGGTATACGATATCGATGTCAGTTTTAATCATGCACCATTATTTATTATTATACTTGACACAAGTCGGATTTAATCGATTATTTAGCAGTAAGTTACAGTATATTATTTTTATTATAACTTTTACACGCTTATACATGAAATTCTCTCAAACTGATGATATTTTAAATTTTTTGCATCAATTAAACTTACATCAGTGCAATTCACAATGCGCTAAATTACAAAAATGATTTATAATTTTAAGCTCAATTTTAAAACAAAAATGTACTTAAACTAATCAAACACTCAGAAGGTATACTAAGAATGAACATGATTGTAAAGTGGCAACTGTTTTTGTAAATGAGGTGGAAGATATGATAAGATTATAAGTATTACTATAAAAAGGAATCTATATTGTTCTTTAAAAAAACTTAAATTTAATTCTAGGGAATTTAAAAAAAAAATTAAAAAGGTTTAAAGGATTTCAAAAGATTTCGATGAGTTTTCCGTGAAAAATGCTTTCTTTCTTGGTTATTGTACGGAGTAGCCTAACCTTCTATTTTGGTGTTTGAAAATGCCAATTAACTCTCAACAGTAATAATTCCATTTGTACTGGCTCTGCATATATAATAGATCCACGATTTCGTTTGTAATTTTATTAGCTAAAATTTTCGCTCTCAGCATGTTTTTCAATAAAAAAGCGTAGTATAATTCGCTAAATTTCGTCTGAAAACGAGGTTTTTGCCTGAAAACCTACAATTTCACTAGTGAAAAGTCGAAAGGTATCGATTGTCTTTAAAAAAAATATATACAACAAAAATTCCTTCTAGAATTAGTTGGTCGAATGATTTTACTTATTTTTAATGAACAGATTTTCTCCCTTTAGAAGGGATGCCATCCACCGCTAGGGAAAAAGCAAACCCGCAACAGGGTAGACTTTTTAATGGAAGATATTTTGAAACGAAATCCAAATTTTTATGAAAATCTGTGCTTTTTGGTGCATAGTTTATACTTGTTTACCTTCATTGACTAGACTATACAGTATAAAGGGTGTATAAAATCAAACTTGCCAGTAATTCCAGAATGAAATTTCCGATAACTTATAATGCCATTTACTAACCGCTGTGTTAACTAAGTTTATTGGGTCCTTCTGAAGGTATAAATTCAGATCCTGTTGT